AAGTTATTACGCGCACACAACCATTTTTGGCAACTCAAATCTATTTCTCCATGACTATTAGATACAGTAATCGTTAGGTTGGCGTATGAACCTTGCAATTCATGGTTTTTTTTTTACTTCACTGCTTAACCCTTTCCGGACCGCCTGACACACATGGGGTGTCAGGCCCAATTTGCTCCCTGTGGCCGCCTGACACACATGGGGTGTCAGGGACTTCAAGGAGTAATTTTTGCGAGGATTCGGTTTTTCTACAAAATGTTTTTTGTTGTTACATATCTATGTAACATACTTACTAAGAAAACTAAGTTAACTTCCACTTCGTTCTTGAAGAAAACAGTTATAACTCATTTGAAAACAATTCATACAAAAGCAATCATGACATTTTGTACACGTCGTAGCTGATACTATTGAACCTAAAAGTTTTGGATACTTTCTAATCCCTTTTTCCTCATTACAACTTATTTTGAACAATTTTCACTCCTGCCTTCCTTTGTGTGGCCCTGTCACTTTTATTACAGGACGGCTTTCTGTTATATTTACCACAAATATACTTTAAGAAATGAGAAAGACACAAACGAGAATAATATTGGTTTTTATGGGAATACAGATTAAATACATGATGTTTATGCTCGCTGAGTAGCGCGCGACGGTGAGCATAAAAAGGCGCCGGCCACACGCGCCCGCCACGTGAAAAGTGCGCGGTCCGGAAAGGGTTAAAATTCGTATGATTTACTATGCAATATAGATGCCATTAGTATCTGTTACGCGAGCCTAAAAATACTGACTATAATACCCGACAATGAAAGTTAATTATCGAGCAATGAAGCTTTGCAAAAAGTCATGCGTACTAAAAGTCTTATGCACCAACGTTAATACCAATTCCTAGACAAAACATTATACGAAGTTATCTGAGGAAAAAAAACAGTTCAAAATAAGAAGATGGTCACTTTCGTTCTTCCATTTTGAATAAAGTCTAACCAAGAAGGTCCTTCAGGACGTGGAGCGCAATTTCAAAACTGCTTGTAATGGGGCCGTTCATTGCATGTTATGGCGCCACTTGCGTGAGCTCAAAATTGGTGATCAATTTTCTGACGGGATCTGGGGATTGGAAGCGAAAGTGGAATCTTGCCCTTGGAAGTGAAACTTTAAAGGAATCTTCCACGGACCATGGACCAGTGGGCGGGACCGGAAGTTTTTGTGACGAAATGCATGGTAGGTACGGATCCACGTGTCGAACGCACGAACGTGAACAGGATTCACTTCAAACCTTCCCATGAACGTGGATCCGTACCTACCATGCATTTCGTCGCAAACCACTTCCGGTCCCGCCCACTGGTCCATGGTCCGTGGAAGATTCCTTTAAACTTGCAAGATTTATAGCGTTGATTAGTTGATATTGAAAGCTTTCGTTCACTAATAGTTTAACTATATGAGCCAAGTAGTGTGAAATCTAGAAAAATGCGGAAACGGTGTCTCCAGTGAGAATCGAGCCAGCCCTGGTCCACATGTTTTTCGGCATTCCCAGAGCAGCTTGGAAAAAAGCGATCCCCAGTTTTATGCTGCCTGCGCGTGCTTCTATCATGCAAAAAACCGTTTTGAAAAAGCGCATCATGTCCTGAAAGACTTTCCTGGTGAGACGAAGGAGGTAAAGACGAAAGAGAGTAAAAGTAATACATCCCCCGCCCCCCGCCCCCCCCCCCCCCCCCCCCCCTCTTTTACAATATACTTCGAAAAGGAATTATTCATGTACTAACCTTGCTGTACTCCTTGTAACGTTCAATCGTTTCGGCACAATTACAGGACCAAGCCTGGCAGGTTGACGCTTTCAAAGTCGAAATAGCCGAAGCTACGGGGCGCTGAGGGGTCATATGCCTCCGCCTAATGTCAGTACTAATCATTTTCCTGAAAAGCAAAAACAATCAGTGGTTTCGATGTTGAGTTCTTCAATTTGCACTTACGTTGTTCGTGCCTGAACGTTGTTGCTGATTTGATCAAGTTCATGAGCGAAACGAGTGAGTGCCTCACGTAAATGGTCGACATTATTTTCGCTCCATCTTCTGAAATACAGAAATATACCGAGTGAGAAATATAAAATAAATTTACTGATTTTTTAAACGATCTGGGTATCATGACGACACTATTCTCTATTAGTACACCAAAAATGTCAACATCTTCTTTGCTTAAAAACCACCTTTGAGGAATACTCAGCGTACTAATCACAAATATGACAATGACTTGCTAGCGCCAGGAGTGGTCGTTACACACATGATCAGGATCATCAATTACTCCTATGTATAGGCAACCCCAAGCAATTTTCTTCTGATATTTTGGGACTGAAATATTTGAAAAATGCAGTTGTTTGCAAATCTTGCTCTATTCTGTTGCAGAAATATTTGCGATAAACGTGCATGGTAGCGAACCACAAAGCAATGCTTTACCGAGAGGGAGCTGAACCTCGGCAATGAAAACAAAATAGAAATAAAAGCGAAATAAAAAAAAGTTAGTCGTAGCATAACTGTGTAAGAAGTAAACAATACGTGCACTTGTTGAAACAGCTGCATAGGTCTTTGCAAAATGATTTCACTTACTCTTCGCTTGGCACAGAGGATGGACCCATATGAAGTTGCATTGCCAAATCACCCAGCTTTTGAAATGCATGTCCAGCAGTTAGGAAAACTTCTGCTACCTAGGATCAAAAGCAATATCGAATCCACTAATGATTCACTTGGAACAACATGGCTATGACTAATACGTATTCCTCACTTTTCTAGCTCGATTTGGATCCGGCTGCTCAGACTCGGAAACCGATGGGGCAGGCGCTTGCTAAAAAACATGCATGTACGTAACTAATATTTAAGCTAGTACATATTTTATATTATTATTGATTGATATACTATACTACAGGGGTGGCCAAAAAAAGAGACACTTCACTCCACATTTCAGACAGCATTAATCACACTTTGCTAACTCAAACCGACTGCTCCCAACTTAAATTAAAGAGCACATCCCAATCTATCAATAAACGTTATAATAGCTTTCTGCACCAAGGACATCACAAGAATTTGCCATGGGAACCTTGTGCACGGTTCGAGCTCAACTGGTCCTCGGCGGATCATGGACCTTTACGACGTTATCTGAAACGCTGGTCGGAAGGGGTCTTGCATATTAGAGCTACTGTCCCTAGGAAGCAATCCGTCAGTTAACCGATCAAAGAAATTTCGGCTGGAACGATTACGGTAGGCCTTCTTGAGCTCAACGGTGATGGAAGATGACGTCATATTTTGAGGACGGTGAGGGCAGTGGAAGGAGGGCCTGCTTCTGCTTATGGGAGGACATCTAAGGGATATTTTGCCGTAAAACTTTCATCAACAGCGGCACCCTGTGCGATGAAAAGTTTGATGATGTGCGCCATGGGCAAAGTGTCTCTTTTTTGGCCACCCCTGTATATTTAACTTCAATTCAATTTATAATTTGTTGACTCTAAAGATTCCACATTTCAATAATAGTGCAACTAATCTAATTCTGTCTTATGGTCAGTTACATCTGAAAATGACTAGCTGCCCAGTTTCCAGAAGGTGTGGTTCGCTAGGACAGAAAGTGACTTTTTCGCGCTGTGAAACGTGAAAAAATCGCTTTCTGTCCTAGCGAACCGCACCCCCCCCCCCTCCTCCCTCCCCCCCACACTTCAGATCGCTTCGGAATTCCACTTCTATTAGAAAGAAACAAAAACAAAAAGCATACAATTCCTTATCTAGATAGGAAAAAATAAAGCTGGCTCGATCACCAAAACTGCTTACTGATAGGGGACCGGACATCGGTTGTGGTGGCAGGGTGACATGCTGCATAACTCCTTGTGATAAAGGCGGCTCCAACAGATCGTTTTGCATTGGAAACCCTAAAATAATATCAACATATACATCAGAATAAGGCTACCACCCTGTTTGAAAAAGAGTGCGATTAAAAAGAAGAGCTACCGTTTGACTCAACCTTCACAGTGTTAAACAGTTGAAACAAGAAAAGCAGCTCAACTTTTGACGAGCGTTTATGATATGGGCAACCATGCTGGAGAAAGCGGGATAATGCGCCAATTCTAGCATGTCAATTAAAAAAGGGCGCTCATCCAGTAAGGGGGGGGCACCAAGTGGCTTCCCTCACCCCCATCCCCCTAGACTGCCTACACTCCCCCTGGCGCACAGATTTCTTCGAAGTCCCCGGCACCGACCCGTGAAAAGCAGGAGTGAAGCAGTCTCAGGGGGGGGTGAAGGCACTATTTGACGTTGCATCACAATGCCCCCCCCCCTTACCGGATGAGCGCCTAAAAAAGTACTCAAGAAGTATTGAAAAGAACAATAGAAACACTGGCAAAAAGCCAGACAAGAGGTGCGATTGTTTTAACATAAACCGCCCGCTGTACGCGAAACATCGAATTTAATCCGTGCCATTACCCTAAAATCCCATAGATAAGAGCGGTTTAATTTACCGGTGAAAAATGAATTGGAATGAAATTGAAATTGAATGCAGTCACCCCTCTAACTTGATGGATGGATAAATAAAAATCGGAGAAGAAGTTTAGAAGAAGCTCCGCCCCTCAACTCTAAACCCCGCCCACTTAATAAACAATTCATATAGAAAAATAGCGATTTTAACGGAATTTCTGCCGGAATCTCTCTAGAAATGCCGGAATTTGATCTCTGGATAGAACTTGAAGAGCCCATTCGATCAGTAAAATTCCATAGATAAGAGCGGTTTAATTTACCGGTAAAAAATGATTTTGAAAAAATATTTTTATTTTTATTTTATTTTTGAAAAAATATCTATGGACCGCTCTTATCTATGGGATTTTAGGGTAGTTGGGGGGGGCCACGCGGCGGCGCGGCAGTCTGCTCGCCTGGCATGTTCGGAAATCCGTGGGCCAGGGGGAGTGTAGCCAGTCTAGGGGGGTGGGGGGTGGGGCAGTCACTTGACATGCGTGAAAAGCTGGAATGTTCGAGTTTACACTGTCTCGCTCGAGAGAGCCCAGGTGAGCAGACTGCCGCGCCGCCGCGTGCCCCCCCCCCCCACTAAGTTAGCACCCTTTTAAATTCCATCAAAATGGTCGACACACACCTCCTCACATTATACGAAGTTATACGAAGAAGCGTCCGTAGAATGATGTTTAATAGAGGTAAGCATACCGGACACCTTTGTCCATTGGCAGCGTGCAATCGCACCACTTGCCTGGCTGGTGCGGCTACCGTAACCTGACGCCTTTTTTGACAATTGGGCAGGGATACTGCAGGGCAGGCCAATTCTTGGGTAGAAGGAACTTCGGGGACAGCAACATTGCCTACCCATCACAGAGTTGCTCCTCTTTCTGAGGGTCACAGGTGGGTTAGCATATTATTCCAGGGCTGGGGTTAACTATTTCTTATAGCACACGTCTGTAATGCTCCACATTGCATTAAAAACAACACTTTTTTAGTCGGTGGAGAGTAGGTTATACCAGGGTGGTTGGCTGGGCCACTTTGAGCATCAGGCTGCAATTAGGCCATCACCTGTGTTCGTAAATGGAATAAAGTAAGTCGACTAGTCATCAGTTTAGACTTCAAATGTATTATGAGAAGTTTAAGCGCCTGTAATCTTAACTGGTTAGGAGTTTAAATAAGAAATAGGCAAAAGGAAAGTGCGCTAGTTATTTCGCTCTTTTCCCACAAGAACTCTACCTTTATCTGAGGTCAATGGACTAATAACTCAGCCCGCAGCGTAGGAAGGCTAGGACACGGTTTCCCTGAGCAATCTTGAAGGAATCCTTCCTAGAAAATCATGATTCTATCTCACCCATAATCACTGGCTTGAGACCCATCGTTCACGATAAGAACGAAAAGAACAAAAAATTGCATTTGTTTTGGTAAAAATTCGAAAAACCGAAGGACTGCTACGCGTTCAAATTCCCGCCGGACATCTGTCACAAATGCTGGCGGCGGGAACGCTTCCACTTGGTTCACGGAGTGCTGTCACTAGAAACTCTTTTTGACCTTTTGACTTATTGCACTAACATCTCTCATTACTGCATCATATTCTATCGATGTTTTGTCTCTATTCTCAAAGTCTCACGCTTTAACCGATTTTCCATGCGTCGTCTAATACGTGGCTAAAATAAGGCGCACTTCTTTCCATGCCGCCTTTGGCGCCGCGCGACTTACCTTCGACCATCCATAGAGTGGTTTTCGTAAGTTTGTTTCTCTTCGGAAACCGAATCTTCGTGCGTGAAACTTTGTGTGTTGTCTCTAGTGATCACAACTGACATATTCATGTTGGGAAAGAATGCAAGATTTTTCCGGGAAGAATTCCTTTGTGGCTGCTCTCCGATCACCGATGACAGGATCCTTCATCGCATGCTCTCCGAGCTGACGTCTTCTCGCACCCATACGCCCTCCACTTTGGGCTGACCATCTTCCCGCTAAACTACCACCCATTTCCCTAAATTAGCTGCTTTCGGCGCGATGCGCCCCAAGGAAAGGGTGGATCTCATCTCATTTCGTTGGTACTTCTAGTGAAGCCGATAAATATTGTGCGGTTCATGTAGATGTACGGTGAGGGCAATCACGCGCAGGGTCAACCCTATGTTGCTACAAGTAGCAACGGGGGGTCGTACTTGAATGGACTTGGAGGGGGTCGTACTCTCTCGGTGGCCGGCAGTGGGATTCTTGGTAAAATCGGATAATAGCCAGCACGTTACGTTTTCGTAAGATGACTGATACTAGAGCATCTATAAACCACGCTTCCCTCTAAATGAGCTTTCAAATGAATCAGCGAATTAGAAGGGCGCCCGAGGCGTGGCGCGCACCAAGGCAAGGGATGTAGTGCAAGCGCATGCTCGAAGCTTTCTAGCACATCCTAAGTTAAACATGAAATTGGTCTTCCAAGAAGTTACGGGCAGTGAAACCTAAAAAACCCGCGTTTTCGAGAAAATGGCTTGAAGAATACCCCCAAAAAAAAGTAACAACGGGACTAATTTTTGAACTGCTGACTTTTCAGGAACGTTTGGGTGCTCGTTAGAAAGCTTGAATCCTGTAGTTTGTCATACCGTGTTCAGCTTCCCAAATGAATGACTTTGAAGGAAGTTATGATCGTTTGAAGGTAAAAAGTCGCGGTTCCAAAAAATAGTAACGCAAACCCCCAAAAAAGTAACAACGGGACTAATTTTTGAACTACTGATCTTTCAGGAACGCTTGGGTGCTCGTTAGAAAGCTTGAATCCTGTAGTTTATTATACCGTGTTCAGCTTCCCAAATGAATGACTTTGAAGGAAGTTATGATCGTTTGAAGGTTGAAAAAGTCGCATTTGCACAGAAAAAAGTAACAACGTGCTAAATTTTTATTAAATTAACTTTTGAAAAAGCTTGAAAATGAAGGAAGTTGTAGCCCTAAAAGAGGAGGGTAAAAATTGTAGTAGAATTTTGTTTTTTGCTTAATAAGTTATTCATTTTGAATAGTTTGAGAACAAATTAGGTTTACTTATGAAAGGATGAGCGTCGCTGATCCAAAATCCACCACGCTCCTCCAGGCTACCTGAAATTTAACGAAGAAAAATAGTTCATCAGATTTCAGAATCCCCGTTCGCTGCCTGTTCACGGTCAGCAAACGCGCTCCATCGTCAGGACGACCATGGGCACGATTCAGCGCCCTCAAAACGCGATCATTGCTCGCGTTTTGTTTGTTTTTGTCTGGTTCAACACTGACACCAACCGTTGGTCCTTTTTTGCTCTTTATCCTGTTTCTTTGCTGTGAGTGCATACTCGCCCTCCTTTAATCCCCACATCTCTATCCTCTCCCCACTGCAGACGAATGCCCTCGTCGTCAGCACTGTTTTCGCAAAAATGCTGACGTAGAGGGAGAACCCATCTCCTCCAAATGAAGAAGACTAGAAAAGATGAATGACTGAATTGATACAGCCCCATTCTAATTAGCCCCAAATATTTTTCCAATCATTCTTGCACACATTCTCCAATGACATTAATTTTAAAGCTCACTTGTTTCATAAGAACTGCGGGTCTATTTGATATGCTAGCAGATGCCCAACAATGCATGCTACGAAACGAGCTGCTCAGTTTGGTAGTTCATTGCAGTTCTTGGAAAGATCTGGTGCGAATTGTCTGAACACAAGTATTACATATAGGAGGAGGGGGTAGCACCAAATCGCTCAGAAGGGGGTCGTAAAATCTCCGAGAAGTAACAGCGGTAGGGTCGACCCTGATCACGCGTTGAAACCTGCATATCTACTACTGCATACCATTTTGTGATGTCAGTGAATATTCAATCTGAAGATCTACCATTTCTTGTAATAAATCCTTATACAGTAACTAGTTGGCGGCCGCCAAGCATTGTGCGCACACAACAGTTCTGCGGCGATCTGGTGTTGCCGTCAAATCCACATCAATTTGACCCGATACATTATACGAAGTTATACGATTCTAAGCTAGGTTCTATCTGCTCCTTCCATCGATGGCTTTTGACCTCTATCTCTGTCAGTCATTTTCAGCTTCTTCCCGGACTCCGGATCGCCTCTAGATCGGTTCATAAATCTTGTGGTAAACTTCACGGTGCATGCCCCGCCCACCAATGGAGATCCTCTCCTTGGCCAACCTTTATCCACTTTTCCCTGTCTCCAAGATTTCTTGCGACCGTCTCATAAGCCCAGTAGCGAACTCCGCCCACTTCGGTGTATGCAACGGTCAACCGCCTGCCGCCGCATGCGGCCATTTGCGCGATGTCGCGACGCGGCAATTATTCGATGGGAGCGGCGGTTTGTGATCAACAGTCGATAGAGTACCATGCGATTGGAAATGAGTCTGCAGATCCACGTATGGTATTGTCCACCGTGAAAACCCTGTATCTTTTTCAATTCCTCAATTAAATCTCTATACTGAACTCTAACCTGTGCTCAGCCAGTTTGCACTAATTCAAAAATTCTAGCATCTTTACAGAGTTGTCCACTGCACAATCGGACGCAAATCCTGCCATTGTTTTAAATGCATGAATGCGCAGCCTGAAATGCCCACCCAGTTGGCCAACTGTACACCACACATGGAGTGCTGCGGACCGGCGACGACGTGCCACTACTCTATGCGGTCACTACAAGGTATGATGCATTTGCGAATTCCAATCTATGATTCGATGTCTTATATACTTATTTGCCGATGCCTATACAAGAAAAACCTAAGATCTACGACAGTTTTTTGGACAGCGGAACGACACGCATCACCTGCCGAGCGCGAGGAACGCGCGAAGGATATAGGATATTCTCGACTTCTTAAACAGCCCTCATCAATGCGGCCAACCGGGTCTTTCCAAGCCCCAAGTGGAGCGCGGTCGCGCTTTCCATTCAGCCGCAGAACTGTGAACAGGAAAGGCTGCCCCTGATCGTTCCGCTGGTAAGCGGGACGTCCCACCGTAAAAGAGCGTCTTTCAAGGTCAATGTAGGCATAAACAATCCCGGCTCGTTTTCTTCAAAGCACCTACAGCGTAGGTCCAATGGCTTTTTCGCCCACCACCCTTTCTAGCGGAGCATGCCGCCTACGAGACAAGAATGCACATGAGTTGCCAGTAGCAACATGTATCAAGGGCGTGGTTTAACCGAACCGTGTAACGCAGTGCACTTCTCCCACTAGACTACGACCACCCAACATCGCCGAATCGTACCACAAGTTCGCGTAATTACCAACATCCAAATCCTCTAACCGTGATATATTGGTTTCGTTTCAGCGCTTTGAAAGGACTGCTGAACAACGTAAAGTATCCTCGCATGAGCGACTTACTCATCGCTCTCCGAGGCTACGTCACAACATCACGATGAAAACTGTTGGACACCGAAAGGGTTGATTTCACGCTTGTTCCACTCAAGTCGCATCCCAACTACCCTATCTCCAGAATAATCAGCCAAAACAGCTGCACAAGAAAAACAGACTGCGTCGTAGACGGACCAGGAGGGAAATGGAACGCTTCAAAGAACTCCTTAACGAAAATCGGGGCATCCTCCTACAATCCAGGGATCACCTTACACGGATACATGTCCGAGGATGTCTAGGGTTTCGTCGCAGAACAGATCCGTGTGCTCGGTAGGTTCAAATACTTCAACCTCTTCATAGAGTGGAAGGTAAAAATTTCCCCACGCAGAACTCCCCGTAACTTCCCCAACCTCATTGTATACCATTCAAACATTTTTTTCGTCCGTGTGTCATAATATTTATACCATTTTTTATTTTTTTCAACCTCTCTTCCAGTGGTGTGATGTATCATATTTTCAAGCATTTCTTTGTTCTTCCACTCTTGCACGAACTCTTGTCTCTTTGTTATATATTAGTTTAAGTCCATCTATCGTTCTTCTCCTTCCTATTGTAACAACGCTCTGTTCAAATTTTCTTGATTTATTTAACTTGTGTACGTAGCTCCATCCACCTTTCCATTCTCTCATCCGTTAAGGTTATCCAAGTTTTATTTGAACCGAAATGTACGATCAATATTCCAATATAACAGTAATAACAATAATAGTAATAATAATAGAGATAAAAACAAAACAAATAACATTTCGTGCTTATCAAACTCATCAAGCTTGGATAGCACAATAGGTGTCCATTAGGCTGTCGCGAGTTTTGTTGAGACAGAAATTTCTGAAATCTCAACTTATGTACTCCCCAACTTACTGCCAATATGGCCTTCCAAGAAAAATGACTCAAAAATCACTTTTTCCATCTTCCTGATCAACTTGCGACGAGACAGACAGAAGTAAAGAAGTAAAGTAAACCATAAGATTTACACGTACATACATAAATACATTACCAATGAGACGCAAGTAGAAACAATACTACTAAGTTTGTAGCCAAATCAAATTGTTGAGAATAGTATTAACGTCATCAACCAAAGATGAAGAGATGAAAACAGGAAGCTGCAGTTCCAGTATATAATCACTACAAGAACATGACTGTAATACAAACGCAACGAGTCAGACTACACAGCATAGGAGACTGGGAAGTCTAAAACCACTTTAGTAGACAGGTAGTGTAGTTCACCAAACAAGGCACATGCTCATGGACTCACAGCTCGAAGATGAAATCCAGTAAACGTCGAGCATACTGTAATAAATGATTTCCCATTGAAAAAGGGAAAAAATAATAAAGTAAACCATGGTCGAACAGTAGATTGTAGGCACATGGAAAAATGGCCAATCTTAAACATCATAAAGCTCAACTTCCATGCACCATTCCGAAATCTTGTCTTCAACGTAGTACCTCTCCAATGCTTCTTCCTTCCGATGCTGCACGCGATACCAAGAAAACCCTGAATCAAGAATCACCCATTTCATCGAATAGTACAAAATACGGAAATCTTTAATGGCAGAGTAGAATACCCTTTTCATCTAGTAGCATTGTAATGCGTATGAAGCTTCCATAAAGCTACGTATTTGTTTTTCAATAGTG